GGACCCGTATATGTCGACCTCGAGGAGTTTTGTTTATGCTAGTCTTGAGTACTACTGGTAGTAGACCAGAATTGAGAAGGGAGTGTTAACAAAACTATGTGGCAAAGGTTAAGCGATATCTCCCTAACGTGAATAGTCCCATCATGTTGATTTTTCATTCTTACTCCCTTCGTCCTGATCCTCGGTAGACTTCCTTCTGAACTTGTTAGCTTCCTGTTGAATATCGGGGCTTTCCTGTACCTCAGTTTTTTGCTGCTTGAGGTTTCTTTGTGTAGCCTACTTTTGTTAAAGATGTCATTTCTGAGTCCTTGTCAAGGTAGCTGGAAACTTCATGTGTCTCATGACTCTCCATTTCTTAGGCGGCACGTTGCCAGGCGACGCAACAAAACTGCCTGAGCCCTTAACGGCTTTTGGTTTTGAAGGAAGCTCGATGTTGCTTTCAGATATTGTTAATGGTGGTAAAGGTAGCTGTCAAAGCCTACATCCTAGCTCATTGGTATCCTCGTGAATGATTCACCTACTTTTAAGGGCATTGAGTACTTTACGAAGAAGTTGAATTTTCCCAACGACTCCCCTAAATAGTCCCAGACTACCTTATATCTATCTAGCTTTGTCATTATCAATCCCCCCAGGCTAAAATCCCATCCCAAGGGTCATTTGCTATTTTACTTCACATTCTACTGGTTGTCTTCATTCTGGGTTTCTCTTAAGCGGTCCCAAACTACCTTAGAGTAGTCTGAGCTTTTGACGCTTTGCCCTTCCGAGCCAATGTCCCATCTAGAAGACTTATTCTTGTTGGATCATTCTGTAGGTTTCCTTAGGCAATCCCACACTGTCCTTGAGTTTTCCTGACTCACTTCCTCCCTATTTCAGACATTCCAGGGTCTCCCATTTCTTTGCTTACCATCATTCTTCCTAGGTCATTGTTTACAAGAGTTTATTTTTATTATATTGACTATAGCAAATGATGGGAATGGGTCCTCGTTTACAACCATGGATTCTTCTTTAAGGAACTTCAAAAGCCCCTTATTGATTTGGTCTTGGATGGCATTCTTGAAACTCTAACATGCCTTGGTGCTGTGACTCCTTGAGTGATGGTACTTGTAGTATTCCTTCCCTATCTATTCTTCCTTCGAAGGGAATTTTACGATCAGTGGGCAGGGAGATGAAGTTTTCTTTGAGTCCTCTGTTTTAGTGGTATCAAAGATGTACTAAATTATGTTTGGCCTTTTCAAAAGCTCTCCAACCTTCTTTATCAGAGCTGGGCATGTGTAGTTGCCAGCATTTTTTAGTTTTGCCACTGCCATATCTAAGTCTCCAAAATAGGTTCCTGTTATAGTCCGTCGGCAATGGTCTTCTTCCTTGACCAGTTCCTCATAACTCCATACTTTGGCCGTGCATTCATAGAAATCTCAAAATTTCATCCCCTAAAATTTCTTTTGAAGCTCTATATCTAGTCCTGCTTGTGTCAGCTTAACAAATTCAATTTCTAAAAGTAGTATGTGGCACCTGCTCCTTAGTTATTTGAACCTTACTAAGTCTTAGTCTGCCATCTCTTTAGATTGTTAGGTGAGCTTGCAAAGTTATGTTATGCTAACCTCCGGTTCTACCTTATAGAATTGGATATAGAACTTTTGCTCCATTTTCATCCAGCTGATGATTGAGTTATAGGGTAATGACATATACCATGTGAACACTAGGCCTGTGAAAGTGTTCTGGAATAATCTCATCTTTAAGTTGGTGAAGTTTTCATAGTTGGCAATCTCGCCACATTAGATTGTGAACCTCCTAATGTACTCTAATGTCGATTGCGTTCCGTCCCTTGAGAATAGCATAAAGTCAAGGATCTTATGTCCTGGAGGGTACACGTTGTCCCTATTTATATACTTTGGATGTAGTTTTAAAAAAGTAGGGTGGCTAATTAGCCTTAACCCTGGTCCATATATATCCTGGATGGCATCCCTCAGAGCCTCCATGTTCACCAGTTGATTCTAAGGCTCGTTCTGACGCTTCGGGATCATTGCCGTGCCCCCTAGGCCACTAGTTCCAGGCTCCTGTAAATAATATAAAGAATTACGTAAAAGATTAGTGTGAGCAAATATTTAAGGGTTAGGGATGTCTCTTACAAGTGGGCAGCCCCAATGGTTAGTACTTATATTGATTCCTGCTTGTTGCCCTCCAAGCAGCCCTAAACTTGAGCTTGCTTCCAGAGGAGTGCTTCTTAACGAGCGGCTATGTTCTTCATGCCGTCATGTAGAGCCTACATTACGATCTGCTGTCATTCTTTCTCCTTGTGTTCTGACATTTCCAGAGATAGTGTAAAGAACTTTTGGTTCTCTTCTAGCTGCTTATCCATTCGGTCTTGAATTCCCCGCAGCACTTTTGCCACAGGTCTGTTGGATATGATCAGTGGGTTAGGTTGTCCACTTCTTGACTTTGAGCCAAGGCTTGTGTTATTGCTACTACCTGTCATCATCGGTACTATGTGCTCATGATGTTCAGCTGCTTTAGCATTAGGTGATAAGTATTTTGACCCTGCATGCGTAGAGGTCCCTTCTGGTTTATGAGAACCAGCATTTGTTTCGTCAGTTCTTTTGTCTTTTCGCGTCCTTGCAATCTTTGTTACACAGGTCCCATTGGGCATGCCAAAAATTATTCATAGGTGAACAACAAATACCAGGCATGCCAGAGACGCTGAGTTTCAATTGATAACAAAAGGGTCTCGAGCTTCCTTACCACAATTTACTCGGATGTAAAAATATACAAGGCTTTGGTAAAACAAGTGTTTGATTTTATTGAAATGCAAAAAAGTTACAAGTCTAAATTGAGAAATTAACTGATAAACTAAAAGACTAAAAAGTGCAAAATGTGAGTTTTTAATTGAGTGTTAACTAGTTTCTTTTGTGTCTACTTCTTCTATTTATAGTGTTAGAGTAATGATAGCCTTTTCCTTAAGACCTAGCACATTTTGCCGAAGAATCAGGGATCTCGCAAAACTTATGGTACAATCTTTATTCTATGCTCTCTATTTTGGTAATTAGCCCGTTTCACCGAGATACTTGGGCGTGAGGTCCGTAAATTTCAGCATTGCTTAAGATCGTGTCTTTCGTGCCAATGGTCTAATGTCTGTAGTAGACAAGATTTTGACATATTTATTTATTGTGGCCTTTATTGAGCATCAGGGCCAGCCCCTCTTTTGTTTATATTGGGCCCGACGCTTTAGTTACTCAGCCCAACTAACCCTGTGACCTACCTTGAGCAACGTTTCATATTTTAGCCCAAACAGTTATGTACGTATCCTCCTCCCCTATCCCCTTCTTCTACATCATCTTCATTTTTCTCTTCCGCTTTGTATATTGTGCATCTTTAATTCATCTTCCTCTTCCTTTTTGAAAATTTTTTCTCCTTCCACTCTTTCTTTTCTTTGGCATTTTTCTCTTCCTCTTCATTCTCTTTTTCTCGCTCTACCCCATCACTTTGTTTTAGTTTGTTTCATTCTTATCCGTTTTTCTTTTCCTCGTCTTGTTCAACCTAATGCTCGTCTTCCTTCTTCCACACACAATGATTCCTATTTCAGATCAGGGTTGTTTTAGTCTTTTGGTGTTCAAAATTAATTTCAATTCAATCATTTGGGCTAGTAGGAAAATTATCAGAATCTATTGAGCCTTATCTACAATTTAGATGCTTTAGGTGGCTGCCGATTGAGATTCTTCCTTTGGCACCATGTTTTTTTGATTGCTCACAGTTATTTTTCTGTTAGAGCATGTAATCTTATTTGAGATATGGTCAACCACTAAACATAAGGCATTTCTTTTAGTAAGAATTTGAATATTGGTTCATCATGTTATGAGGTACTATTTTTTTTACTAGACCTATCTCCTATGGTCCTTTTGATATTATGTTTTTTTTGTATAAGTCATTCGGTATCCTGAGGTATCTTGGATTCATCGCAAAGAGACCTTATGGTGGTAGTGAGGTACTGTCACTTCTTAGGGTTCAAACACTCACCTTAGAAAATACTGGTCGTAATCTTTTTCAACTCAATCAAGCGCCCATTGGTTTTTAATATTATGTTATTCCTCCATCTAATACGTTGATAACTCTTTCAATGTCAGCCCACATCTCTGAAGCCTAATCATCACATCTTCTGGCCCATTGGTTTTTGCTTTCCTTTTCAATTCCATAATATAATTAAGCCCACTCATTTCACAATTCTAACCCTAAATAAAACCGCATCAACTCGATCTTTTAACCTTTTCAGACCTTTAGTTATACTCCACATATTTCATTGAGGCATTGACTAAAAAATATATTATTTTTAAAATTTATTGTATTAATACAATAATAAATTTACAAAAAATTAGGGGAAAAAATACATTATGTGACACTCTTTTTTTCCCCTGGATATGTAATGCCAGCCCGTTAAACTCAAACATATGCTTTGTGGTTTTGTTTTGTTTTTTTTTTTTTTTGTCTCCCCACAAAAAAAAAAAATTGCTTCAACATCTGGTAAATCAAGAGGCGCACATTTAACATGTGCTTAGTGGGTTTCTTTTTTCAAACCAATGGCGGTTTCAATAAATGCATCCCATCCAAACATGTGAATTGACAAATCTGTTCCTGCCCAAGTGCCCAGGGCCTCTTTCCTTCTCCACATTCTTCATTCTCTCCACGCATAGCCTTCCGTCTCGGACATTAAACTCTCAGACCAAACTCCGGAAAAAAAAAAAAAAAAGAAGCTTCAACCTCATCTTCTTCCATTAATTACATTGTTATTCTGCTCATGCTGGATTCTTGACGGTGTCGTTTCGGAGCCCCAGACCCATTTTTTGAACCGAGGTTGCAACCCGTACGCCGAATTCCTCGTGTCCAACGTCACCCTCTTCGGTGAAAACATAAACGCATCGTTGCGAGACATCAGAGAGCAGATCGGTGACCAAAACACGCACTTCGCGACTGCGCAGCAAGCCGGCGCCAGTGGTGGAAACACCGTCTCCACTCTTTTCCAATGCAGAAGCTACCTCTCCATCGCCGACTGTGTCGCCTGCTTCGACGTCGCTGCCCCTCAAATTTTCAGCTGCGCCGCCGGGGACCTCGGTGGCCATGTCGTCTACGACGGGTGCTACCTCAGGTACAATAACTAGTGATCCAAGTTCAAATTTGACTCCTGTTGAATAATAAACGCAGAGATAAGACATTGATTGCGACATTATTACATTGTTTTTATTGTGCGATATTCACTGATTGCGTTTCTTATCTTATCTTTTCTTCTTCTTCTTGTTTTTTTGTTTTTGTTTTTGTTTTTGTTTTTTGTTTTTTGTGTGTGAATGAGTTGTTTTCGGCCGAACCTTGAATGAGTTTTTATATTGGGTTGGTGGTCTCATTCGGCTGCTTTGTTATTGTAGGACATTTTTTTATAAATTATTGTTGGTCAGGATCTAGAACATGTTTTTATAGAAAAAAAGTGGATAGCCAGCGTTATTTTTTTTTAACGAATATCCTAATTAAATGCATTATAAAGATTATATATAAAAAATTAAAGCTAATTAAGATATATTAATTTTAGTTGAGGATAATATTAAAAATAATAATTTTTTATATGACATATTTAAATTTTCAATCCCTCAAATTTGCCTTAATTATTAGTTTGATCTTGCAAATTTAATTTCTATCAATTTAGTCTTTTACGTTTTTTAAATTATAACAACTAAATAAGAATAAATTATCTTTTAAATTTGTTTAATTTTTAACATTATAGTCCTTTATGCAGAGTTTTGTTCTTCTTCTTTTTTTTTTAATTTTTAGTGTATATTTTCTACTTAATTAATTATATTTTTTTATTAATCTACACAATTTTAATATTTTATTATCCATGTCAATAGATTTTTATAATGTTAGCTCCTTTTTGAATAATAAAAAAAATGGATAACTAAAGTAAATTTAAAAAGATAAACTCGATAGAAATTAAGTTTGATAGTCCATGTGACAACTCACGCACCAACTCATTATTCGTGTGTTAGTCTTTGTCCCTTTAATTTGTTGCCATGTCCCTACCCAAGTTCTTATGCCCATGATGATATGCGTGTAAAAGCGGAAAAAGTAAAAAATTAATGAACATAATTAATTATTTGACATTATTAATTAGCTGAATTTAGGATTATGCTAAAATATTATAATCTTCTTATTATAATAATATGCAAATTTTTAAGGTTAAAATATACAAAATTCTATTAAATTTTGACTTATGTGCAAATAACCCCCTTAGCCTTTAAAATTTGACCCAAAAAAAAAAAACCCTACTTATGTAAAGTTCAGTGAGTTTCTGTAAATTTTCAAAGATTAAGGAAGTTATCTATAAACATCCCAAGCTTCAAGGTAGTTATGTAAAATTTAGCTATTTTTAAATATCCTTCAGTAAGATACAATACAAGAAAGTAATCAATTTATCAACATATCAACATATATACTATATAAAATTAAAATCATCCACCATTATCCATAACCTTTTGTTGTGTTACATAAGGTACGACATTAGTAGCGCTTTCTTTGGCGACGCGACCCAGTCCGTGAATAGTGCATCATGTGGGAATCAAACTACTGAAGAACCAGCTACTGTATTCACCTCAGCTGTGCATCAAGTGCTCATGAATCTGCAAACAGCAACACCCAGAATCACTGCCTTCTCTGCAGCCACAAAGACGCAAGTGTCTGATAATGGTGCAACCATTTATGCATTTGCTCAATGTATTCAAACTATCACATCAAGTAAGTGCGAGGATTGCTTGAATGCTCAGTACAACAATATGCAGACTTGGCTTCCCAATTCAGATGGTAGGGCTTATGCTAATGGCTGTTTCTTGAGATATTCCACCACTTCTTTCTTTCCTGATAACCAGACCATTGATATCACTACTCCCTTCTTCCAACAAGTTACACATCTTATTTGGATTGTCTTCACATGACAAGTTGATTTGCTTATTATTTGTAATTTTGAACCTCGTCTTATAGATGTGATCTTATTTTAGTATTTTGATTAGACATGGATATATGTGTGTGTGTGTATATAAATGCCTATTTTAAGAGGGATGGAATTTAGGTTCACTATCTCTTAGATAAATCAATAGAAGTTGATTTAGGGAATATTTCGTTTGGCGTATATATATATATATATATATATAGTTACGACGTGACTAATTTTCGAATAGCCATTATAGGTTCATTATCTCTTATTATTTGTAATTTTCGTATGACCCAAAATGTGTTATGTCTTGTAGGTTCAAGCAATAAGGGAGCCATTATAGGTGGGGTTGTTGGAAGCGTGGTAGCTCTTGCTTTGATCTTTATTGCATTATTTGTCTTGATTAGACAACGAAGAAAAAGGCCTCAGAGGGTTCCAAGAGGTAAACATCTTAAATGTTCAACTATTACATGTGTGTGGACGTGTGTCACATTTTACTGATTTAATTTGAGGCTTTTTTATTTTCACTTTTCCCCGAATTAAAAGAAATGAATCATTATTGACTTTGATTTCTATATATATATATATATATATATATATATAATTTTTGAAGAGACTTTGATTAACATTTTCCACGATATGTAGGAGACATAATTGGAGCGAGCAAGTTGAAAGGCCCAACTGTTTACAATTATAAGGATTTGAAGACTGCAACCAAGAATTTCAGTCAAGAAAATAAACTAGGAGAAGGAGGATTTGGTGTTGTGTATAAGGTAAAATTTTTATTTTCAATATTTAAATATAGATATGCAATGACGTCTGAAAGCATGTTTATGATTAAAATTCTCAATGATCATGAATAGGGCACTTTGAAGAATGGAAAAGAAGTTGCAGTCAAGAAATTAACATTTCGCCACTTATTCACAAGGATGGAGGAGGACTTTGAAAGTGAAGTGAAGCTTATAAATGATGTTCATCATCGGAATCTTGTTTGACTTTTGGGATATTGTATTCATGGCTTGTTTATGAGTACATGAAAAATAGCAGTCTTGACATATTCTTGTTCGGTAACCTTCTATCAATTAACCAAACTTATTTAGTGTTCTTCATTTATGACATCGACTCTGCAACATATCATTAACTCCTCTAACAAACTTATTCATATGTCAAAATTTTATTGAAAATAGGTAAAATGAAGGGTTCACTCAATTGGAAGCAATGGTATGATATAATTTTAGGCATAGCAAGAGGTCTTGCATACTTACATGAAGAATTCCATGTTTGTATCATACATAGAGATAAAAAGCCTAATAACATTCTCTTGGATGAGGAACTTCAGTCTAGAATTGCTGACTTTGAATTGGCAAAATTTTTACCAGAGGATAAGACTCATCTTAGTACAAAATTTGCGCACATTATAAGTTGAAACAATTGCAATTTTTTTTAAACTTTTCTCAACTTGTATTGAACATATATTACTAAATTAGGCAGGATATACTTGTCAGATCAAGCATAACGCAATACTTAATTAACTCTTCAAATGTTGATATTCCAAATTTTGTTGGATCCCAATATTTATTTGTTCATTTTGGAGACATTATCATATTATCAATTACATATTGCACTTGTTAGGAGATATACTGCACCTGAATATGCAATTCATAGCCAATTATCAGAGAAGGCTGATGTTTTCAGCTATGGCATTGTTGTTTTAGAAATGATCAGTGGTCAAAGAAGTGAAGAATTGAAGATCCATGGCAATGATGAAGGCGAGTTCCTCCTTCAAAAAGTAAGCAAATTCCCATAGCTATTTTACATGGGTTAACTTGTTTATGAAAGCAATTAATCTAATAAAAAAATATTATCCCATCTTTTTGCCTTGTTACCCCCCTTATATTCCATTCCATCTTAATCCCACTTGACAGGCTTGGAAACTATATGAGAGAGGAATCCATTCAGAGCTGTAGAAGAAGTGAAGAAAGTCATAGAGATTGGTTTGCTTTGCACTCAAGCACATGCTGACATAAAGCCAACGATGTCAGAAGTAGTTGTTTTGCTTCAAAACATGGCCTTACCAGAGAACATAAAACCCACCATGCCTCTCTTGATTGAAGCTACTTAAATGACCAATTAATGGATACCTACCTACCTCTGCTGCTTCCTTTACATCCAATACTATCAATGTTGCTCCCACCCTCTATAGAAAAGTGCGGGTTACTAATGTGACTTTGGAGTCCTAATTACGAAGAAAAATGGAAAGTGATCATTGTTCTTCATTCCATTCTTCAATATTTGTGTTAATTAATTACATGTCAATCTTACAAATACAAAGTATATGAATCGGTGAAAATTGCCGCATACCACTTTGTATAAATTAAATTCTTCTCTAGAAATTGGGTTAGATTATGTCTTGTTTGGCTTTCGTTTGAAGATGTTTATGAGATTTAGTTTTTCACCAAATAGATTCATGCAACCTCATTTCTACGTAATATAGAGTTAAAGTGATAATTTACCCTTTAATTTTAAAGCACATTGGCTACTCTTAAGTTAATGTATCTTCTATTTATAAGTTAATATTTTATTTTACACTAGCTGTAAATTTCTGAAGAAACATTTTTAAATTTGAAAAAAGGCTTATAAATTAAACACTATTTTAATTTATATCTCTACTAATATAAAAAAACTTTTATTTATAAATCTTAAATACTCTAGTTGAGCTGTAAATTTTTGAAGGAGAACTTATAAATTTTGAACAAAGATTTAAAGTTTGTCATATTTACAATTCAACTAAAAAAACTTCACATACTTATATTCAAAAGTTGATTTGTATAGTTTGTGTCAAGATTTGTAAACAGTAATAATATTTAAGCATTGTCAAATATTAAACGTGAGCACATTTTCAAGTATAAATTCAAACCTTAATTTGTTATGTTGTGATGGATTAACCCTTTCTATTAGATCCAATCCTTGTTGGCAATATTTATTTTTTATAAGTAACTTATTGTAATTTTGGAACATTTTTTGAGTCAGTTAATAGCCAAATTAACAAACATCCAAGAGGGGCCATGTGCATTGTTTTTAATTACATGAGAGGTGACATTGCATTACTCTTGACTTGAGGGTGTTCAATGCGCTCCAAGAAAAGAAAATGAGGGGCAGATTAGACATTCAACCCTAACAATTCTTCTGATATCCTGGAATTGTAAGAAAGGAAATTAAATTAGAAACAAAATCGTTCAATGGAGTTATTTGGTATACCTAAATTGCTTTCTTGAAGGATTTTTTTTGGATAAAAGAGCAAATATACCCTTAAACTATAAGTTTAAGAGTGTCTGGGACTCTAAACTCATTTATTTTGCAATGTTTCTCTTCAACATTTAAAAATAGTGCAATTTGGCTCTTACCGCTAACAAAAGTTAATTTTGACTATTAGTTCACTAAAAATGACAGAAAAGACAAACATAAAAAATTACATAGGAAGACCAATAAAATTTTCTTGGACCTTTTTGTAATTTTTTGGGTCTTGTCTATAATTTTTTGGTTCTTTCACCATACATTTTTGGATCCTTCACCACTACTTTGAAAGGATGGAGGAGTTTGAAAGTGAAGTGATGCTTATAAATATATTGTTTACCATCGGAATCGTGTTCGACTTTTGGGATATTGTATTCATGACAAGAATAGAATCCTTTTTATAAAGACATGAAAAATAAAAGTCTTGACATATTCTTGTTCGACAACCTTCTATCCATCAATTAACCACTTACACAGTGTGTCTCATAACATTATGACATCAACTTAACAACATGTCATTATTAGCTCCTGTAACATACTTATTCATATGTCAAAATTTTATTGAAAAAAAGGTAAAATGAAAGGTTTGTTCAACTAGATGCAACGATAATTTTTAGGCACAGCAAAAGGTCTTGCATATTTACATGAGAAATCCATGTTCATATAATCCATAGAGACAAATAGCCTAAAAACATTCTCTTTGATGAGGATCTTCAGCCTAAAATTGCTTATTTTGGATTGGCAAGACTTTTACCTGAAAGACAAATCTAATTTTAGTACCAAATTTGCAGGACCATTACACATCAAAACAATTTCATATATCTAATTTTCTTGATTTATATTGCAGGAATACATAATATACTAATAAAATCTATAGTTAGGTCACTATAATAGTATTATTACACAAATAAATACTTTTAATTTTCTTTATGTTGTCTTTTTGAAACATGAATAGTTCAAAAAAAATAAGAGTTCACATACAGGTATGTCTACAGTACATGATATTATGTTGTCAATCTCTATGTTAAGTTTAGCCTGTTCATGTTTTGTCATAGTGTTGGTTAATTTTGTCATAAATATTATGCATATTTGTCAGAGGATACACAACACCATAGTATGCAATTCATGGCCAATTATCTGAAAAGGCTGATGTCTGCAGCTATTGTGTTGCAGTCTTAGAGATTATCAGTTGCAAAAAAAAAAAAAAGGTTTTGGCATTGATGGTGATTTCAAGGCGAATGTGTACATACCTCCTTTAAAAAGTAAGGATCTCATGACTAAATATAATAGCACTTTGATTTCTAAACAAAACTTAGATGTTAAATTTTTAACAGCTGAATTTACACTATTTGATTAACTCCATTAGAACATATTTCTTTCCATTTTTTTTATTGCGGATAATCTAATTATAGATATTTAAAAAAATAATATCCTCACTTTCGCTTTGCCTTTTCTGCCCTTTATTAACTTATTCAATTTCACTTTAACCCCACTTGCTAGGCTTGGAAGCTATATGAAAAAAGGTATTCACGTAGAGCTGGTGGACAATAACATAAACCCTAATGATTAATCGAAGAAGTAAAGAAAGTCATAGAAATTGGTTTGCTTTACCGAAGGTTGTTGTTTTGCTCCAAGGCAGGGAATTGTTAAAGAATATGATACCCACTATGCCTGTCTTGATTGAAACAAATTAGAGAGACTCCTCTTCTCCTATTTCTTCCTCTACAAGCATTCAATGCTCTTGCATGCACTTTTTATACTATCCGCAATATGCTTGTACATGAATTTAAGGGTGGTCGATTTATTTGAGTTTTGAACCCCAGATAGCTAGAAAAAGTAATGTATAGAAGATGATTGTCTTTAATTTCATTCCATTATTCTTCAACATTTGTTTGTAATTATTCATCAATCCGAGTTAGTGTATATGTGTTAATTATCATTTGGCAACACAATTTTGGTAAAAGCACATTAATTATAAAGAATCTAATATGCTTTAATTTTTATTAAGAAATTACCATAGAATACAATTTTAAAATTACTTATTTTACATTAATTATTGCATGGACTTCGAAAAAATAAATCATACATGGCTTGTGAATAATATTAGCTTGTAATAGATTTTATATTTTCGTTGGTATTGATATTGATCAAAATTGAAATGATCATTTTGAATTGAATAATAAATTGAAGACTTGCAAGTTATCACAGCTCTCGGAACCCTCTGGGACGACTTTAATTTGTACGCCCATATATATATATATATATATATATATAAAATGATGCAAGAGCATGACGAAAATAAAAGATGCACCCGCAACCACTGCTCCAATAATGGCCTTATTTAATTTCCTCCTACAAGTGGCAAGGGCAAAAATTGAATTTATATATTTAATTTCTGAATGGATTCCTTTCTATGGATCCATGACATAAATTCATGAAAGAGTCAGTTATATTTAATCCATATTGTACACCCACCCACCCACGCACACACAAGATATATGTATTATTTTAAGTTTTACAAAATATATCACCTCCACTCCACCATATACATACAAACAGAAGATTATATTTATGACTTATGCTTGGTATAAATTTATATGTATTGATATTATATGAAAATAATTTTATCTTTTGTTTTTGTTTTTGCGTGCAAGTATATATATGTTTGCGCCCACGCACACCTAGGCATGCAATCTTGTCCTAGTCCTATCTCGATTCCTAATGAGATGGGACAGAATATGAGATAAAAATTCAATTTTTTAGTTTTTTTTTGGAGACAGGACACGGTGAACACCCTAGAAGAATATATGATGGAGTATTGAAAAGCTGGGTGATTGAAAACGACTACTACAAATTATTTGACAATACATTTTTAATTCCTCTTTAAGAATAATCATGATTATGATGTAAACTGCCCAGAAACGAATGACACACACACATAGAGAGAGAGAGAGGGAGGGAGAGAGAGTTTCTGTAGAGTTGAATAAAAAAAAATGAAGAATAGGTTTCAGGGGAAGAATGTTTTACCTTGGATGTCCATGCACAACTTTACTTTTTCGTTTTGACAAATGTTCTTACGTAATAATTTCTTCTCCACATGTAGATTGCTCCTACCTAGTACAATAATAAAATCAGTGTCTTTATGATTATTAATGCATAAATATATTCATCCCATCATCCATTTGCATCTTACAATTAATTTTAACTGCTTTTTTCTTTATTTTGTCAGATTATTTGACAGGCTTATTATATTATATAATCAAAATTCAAAATAAATTGATTTTCACTGCCTTTTGACACACCCAAATACTGTTGAGATAATAGTTACTTTGTTTGTTTTCCTTCGAGCTCTTCAACAATTTTTTATCCAATTAATAAAAGTCAACGGTGTTGGATTAATTGTCTATTTTATTCTAACAACACCATTTTCGTTGCCGTCCATATATTTCAAACACCATAATACTTTTCTTTCACTATCCTCTATTCTCCATAAAGAAAGCCTCGTTGAGCTCCCTTCTCTTATTCATTTTCCTTCTCTAAACTCAACTAAACATGTTTCAGCTATCAAATCTTCCCTTCTTTACCTTCATATTCTGGTCATGTTGCACTTTTAACGGCGTCGTTTCAGATCCACAGACCAATCTTCTTAAGATCCAGTGCAACCCATTCAACGAGTTCTTCATTAACAACATCTCCATCTTCAATGACAACCTACACGCAACGTTTGAAGACATCAGAGAGCAGATCAGTGACCAAAACAAGCACACTTCGCCACATCACAACAGCAACGCCAAAGGAGAAAACCCCGTTATCACTCTTTTTCAGTGCAGAAACTACCTTCCAATCATTGACTGCGTCGCGTGCCTCGATGCGGCTGCTGTCCGAATCCGTAGCTGCGTCGCCACCATAGCCCCTGGTGCTCATGTTGTCTATGACGGCTGCTTCCTCAGGTACTAATCTACAATCTCAAATGGCTTTCTTGGCCATATATTGCGAAATTATGACACCA